AACTTTTTTATAGAGAGGAGACTCCTGTTTGAGGATTTTTCAATAGTTAAATTGGATTTTCCTGAAAACAAAACATTAGAGTCATCAGCATACAGACACATAGATCCATCACTGACCGGGATCATCTCTGGTAACCCCTTAATGTAACAGAGGAACAAAAGAGGCCCCAAGATCGATCCCTGGGGTACTCCATATCGTAGTGTCTGCCGCTGAGATCTAAAGTTTTCAATATATTTAGTATTTCTTTTCTCTATTACGTAGTCCACTTCAACAAACTGTTCTCTGTTTTCTAAATATGAAGTGAACCACCGTAATTCTTTTCCTATTATTCCTAATTCATCTAAAATATTCACATCCGTAAGGACTGCCAAGTCGAGTCCTGTTTTCTTTGCAAAGAAAATGGGCTCACTGAAAAACACTTGATTCATATAGCTGGGTCTGGAAAGTGCAGTGTATTTAAATCTGCACTACAACAAGCAAAAGCCCTCCCACAAAGATAAGAATCCTTCAATGCAATCTTGAGCGATCCAGGACGGCTGACGCACTTCTATGTCAGCTTGCCCTAGAACACGATGTCGACGCGCTTTTAGTCAGCGAACAGTACCAGTACCGTGATAGGGACCCAGCTTTTTGGTTCCCTGATAGTCTTGGTACTGCTGCAATCTGGGCGCGTAATGCAGCTACAGTACAAGTACGGGCACGCGAAGGGCCGAGGTTTCGTTTGGGTTCGGTGCCGGGATGTCACTTACTTAAGTGTCTACCTCACTCCCAATGAGGCCATCCGTGACTTTCGTGAGAAGATAGACCGCCTGGAAGAGAGCGTGCGCAATACCACAGGACACGTCGTCGTGGGTGGGGATTTTAATGCTAGGGCTGTCGAGTGGGGAATGGCCCTCACAAATTCCCGGGGCAAGTACATTCTGGACTTTGCTGCCAGAGCCGGACTCGTTGTCGTCAACGAGGGCAATACGCCAACTTTCCGGCGCCCTGGGATGCGGGGAACGATCCCAGACATTACCCTTGCATCTGAGTCTCTTTTGCCAAGGATCAGAGCCTGGAGAGTCCTGGAGGATTACACGGCCAGTGACCACCAGTACATAATTTTTGACGTCCTGGATGGTCATCAGAGACAAGTGGCAGCGTTTCGTCAAGTGCCCGTTCGATGGAACATTAAAAAACTGGACGTGGCAAAATTCAATGGAGCCATCCTACGAAGAACGCCGGTGGTTCATCCTGCAACTGGCGTGCCTCATGCAGAGGCGTTAGTTACATCCACGATGAAACTGATTGTCTCGGCCTGCGATGAGTCTATGCCTCGCAGGAGATACCGGTGCAATAAGCGTCCTGTGTGCTGGTGGACTGCCGAGATTGCGGAATTGCGTCGAGCGGCATTGAGGGCCAGAAGACTTGCTATCAGGGCTAGAGAACCCCTAGACAGACGGCGTAAGTCGGATGCTTATAGGGTGGCTAGGAGGTATCTTCGTCGAGCCATCAATCGGAGTAAACGCAGTTGCTGGGATAAATTAAGGGACGATGTTGATTCCAACCCGTGGGGCCTGGGCTACAAACTTGTAACCAAGAAACTTGGAACCCGCTCTCCACCTTCCGTCATGGACAGGGTCACTATGGAGAGGATGGTCGAGTCCCTTTTCCCGGCTCACGCGTTGCGCCCACTGCGGGATTTTGGAAGGGTGGACGACGTCCCACTTTTCAGCCCTGAAGAGCTGGTGGCGGCCGTCATATCCCTGAAGAACAACAAGGCTCCTGGTCCCGATGGGGTACCCGGTGAAGTCCTCAAGAGGGTTTTGACTACCAACCCCTTGATCCTTTTGAGCATGTACAACGTCTACCTGGTTGAAGGGGTTTTCCCCTTGTGCTGGAAGACAGCTAGGCTTGTGCTTGTTGGGAAGGGCAAGGGAGACCCAGATCTGCCATCCTCTTACAGACCTCTGTGTATGTTGGATACGGCTGGCAAAGTCCTCGAGAAATTGATCCGTTCCCGGCTAAATTCAGCCGTTGTCGCTGCGGGGGACCTCTCCCCTCGTCAGTATGGATTCAGGATGGGGCGATCAACGATTGATGCGATTGAGGAGGTGAAGCAAGCCGTGATGAGAGCTGAGGATTTCAACCACTACTCTCGCAGGGTTGTGCTGCTCGTAACGCTCGATGTGCGAAATGCATTTAATTCTGCGAGGTGGTGCAATATGCTGGACGCTCTGGAGAACACCTTCCACGTGCCGGCATACCTCATGCGCATCATAGAGGATTATCTCCGGTTTCGCCTCCTAACGTATGACACTGCGGAGGGCCCGCGGACGATGAGTGTCACTTCTGGTGCTGCCCAAGGTTCCATACTCAGCCCAGACCTCTGGAACGTCGCTTATGACAGCCTTCTAAGGTCTGAAATGCCTGAGGAAACGGTTTTGGTTGGGTACACAGACGACGTTGCAGCTTTGATATCTGCACGTAGCGTTGAGCTGGCTCAGCTAAAGCTAAACCGAGTTATGCGTACCATTAACGCATGGATGGCAGACCACGGTCTCTCGCTTGCTCTGAGCAAAACCGAGATTGTGATTTTGACAAAAAAACGGATTGACACCATCCGTGCCGTTGAGAGTGGGAGCCGTCGAGGTTCAAACTGTTCGTTCTGCCAAGTATCTTGGGGTCATGGTAGACAGCAAGCTTAGCTGGCGGGATCAGATCTTCCGTACAGCGGACAAGGCCGCTAGGGTGGTTTCTTCTCTTAGCCGGTTGATGGCCAATGTCGGAGGGCCTCGGTCCAGTCGTAGAAGGCTGTTAATGTCTTCGGTCCAGTCCGTACTCTTGTACGGTGCGGAGGTGTGGGCAGACGCACTAAATAAGGAGGCATACAGGATGCGGCTCGCCCGAGTGCAGCGTCAGGCAGCGTCAGGTAGGCCGAGGGCATCTGCCTACCGAACAGTGTCCGAACCCGCCGTCCTGGTGATTGCTGGAGTCATCCCCGTCAAACTTTTGGCGGCGGAGGGAAAGGCAATTTACCGGCGCCGTGGGGAGGACGAGGCACGAACAGAGGAACGCACCCGCACCTACCAGCTGTGGCAGGAGGGCTGGGAACAGGAGACACGGGGACTCTGGACCAGGCGACTGATACAGCAAGTCCAACCTTGGGTGGATCGGCGGCACGGAGAGGTGGACTTCTACCTCACCCAATTTCTGACGGGACACGGCTTTTTCCGGTCGTACCTGTTCAGGATGGGCAAAGCCGTGTCACCCGACTGCATATACTGCCCAGGCATTCTCGATGACGTGGAACATACATTTTTCCACTGCCAGCGCTGGGAAAGGCCCCGCCTGGAGGCTCAACAGTTAGTAGGACTGCTGTCGGTGGACACGGTCATACCGATTATGACGGAGGGTGAGGACAATTGGACCTGTGTGTCACATTATATCCAGGGTATTCTCCGCGCCAAGAAGGACCTTGACCGGGATGCGGTGTAGGTCATTAAGAATCTAAATGCCAGAAACGGCGCGAGTCCTGAGGGCTTAGGTCACATGTTGGCCTGACTTGAAGTAATGTGACAAACAATTCCAGGTCTGTGTCCAACAGAGTAGAGGGGGTTTTTTAGTGAGTAGTCTGATAATTTTCAGGAGTCTCACACTACAGGCTGGCTACCTGTGTGCGTAAAAGCATTTTCCCTCCCCTCCCTAAGGAAAAAAAAAAAACCCCTGTACAGGTAGCATAATTGTAACGACATATTATGCAAAGGAAGAAAAATGTGCGTGCGTGGCTGTTGGTTGAATTAAGAATAGCAGGCCTATAATGCTAGGTAAATAGGCTAGGTTTTAGTTAAAAAAAAAAATATATTTGGTGATTTCCTGAACCGTCCATATATTACTCATGCTTCAGTTTAAGGAGGAAATAATTTGCTCATTTCCTTAATCGTCTTTTTACTATTACTCTAGTGTTCCAAAGAATTGGTTTGCGACAAATTTTGTTCAACTAAAGATCTCACAATAAGGATGCTATTCTCAGAAAGTCTTTAACCGATCCATTGCCTTCTCAGTAACGAAAGCGTTTCCCCCAATACCATTGCCCTTCGCCTCCCCCCTGGGCACCAACGTCATCATTCTCTCTTACCCACAGGCCAGGTATATTTGGGGAATGTGCGAATTGAAGCCTAATGAATTGTAAAAGGGTTCGGGCCAGATTAGGTCCACTGGTTTCCTATTTTCCATTTCCCTTTGCTGCGGCGGGGGTATTTATTATCATCCCTGACCCTACTCTTTGTTGAAATAACCTGGGTAAGTTTGGCTAAATATCTTCAGTGGTTATTGCGTTATGATGTAAGAAAGTTTGCATTAAAGTCGATCCCAAAGACCTTCGCTCCCACTGCCCAATTAAAAAGGTTCTTCAACCCTATCCCATGTCAATTCTATTAAGTGATGTCCCTTCATATCTTTGTGATGTGACCTCTGCATTAAGTGTAGGAAGATGCTTAAAAGTTGTTATAAGAAAATAAAAGATTTAAAAAGGAGCAGCTGAATTGAATGGTTTTAACCAATAGATTGCAAAATAAAGAATAAACAAACAAAAAATATAGAGGTAGTATTTACTAAGTGCGGTAGGGATTAAGAATTCATATTTAAGATATTAAAATATAATTATGATTTCATAATTTTTGTCTGTAAGTACAAGGCAGTATTCTGTAAAAAAAGAAAATAAATTTACTTAAAACTGTAATTTACAGTATCTGAAAAATATTTTCACTGATGATAATAGTCTGTTAATAATCACTGCTTCATGTGCCACATTTCTGGAAGTCAACTACCATGTGTAAGCAAGTACTATCTGTATAAGGACTCCTAGATCAATGCATCTGCGTCTTAAGTATAACAGCACAAAATATTAATGTCCATTTTATGTCAATTATTAAAATGTTACTGATTTGTATTTCTTCATTGTAGTGTTTTCACTGTTTTTAGCTACAGTGGGTTGACTAGACTTGTGTATTGTTGTACAGAGGCAGGCAGTGGCGTGTCAGTACAGGCATTACCAGTTGCTGTGGAATATCCACACAATGAGGATATAAAAGTTATCTCAGCAGCCTGCGGTGCCCGACACACTGTTTCACTAACAGGTAAATTATTTTTACCTTAATTTAAGCCTTCTTTAAACATAAAATGGTTGTTAATTGACTAGTTTTGCATTTATTTGCTTTAGTTCCTTAACCATTGTCAGGGTATATTTAAATTTCCTCCTCTCTTATTTATTGTCATTGCTAATTTACATTCAATCTGATTTATTTGATAATGACTTGTCAGGAGAGTTTTTATTGTTGGATGAATAAGATGATAATGTGGACCAGATGATTAGAGGGTAATTGTGCATGACAATCTTTATAATTTGACAGAGGGTGGTGGTGTTTGGGTGTGTGGCTGGAACGGTTATGGACAGCTGTTTCTGCCTGATGTGGACTGTGTGGACCAGATGACTCAAATAGTTGTGCCTGACAATCTACCTGTGCGACAGATATTGTGTGGGCCTTGGAATTCTTGTCTCATCACCCAATCTTGGTAGGTTATAGAGCTATAACCGACTATTTTTTGAAACATGAAAGATGATTGTAGGGGATATGTTGCGGTCCCATCTGTAAGTACCAACTTAAACAGAATGCACAATAAATTAGTACCTGAGAGTCTAAGTAGGGCCTTAAATAGGGATGGACGGGTACTGAAATTTAAATAAATTTTGGGGAAAATATATTTTAAATCTTCAGGCAGGATTGCATTTTATTTGGGATTTTCTTGTGATGGCATTTGTTCCATCTTCAAGTGATTTTGCCAGAATCACATGAGATTTTAGAAGATGTTTATTATTGTCCTGGTTTAAAATGCTGTTGAATATGAAGTGTCATTTGAGAAACGCAATATAAATCACACTTCATATTCAACAGCATTTTAAACCAGGACAATAATAGACTAAAGGCAGGAGTACAAAGGTCAGATGATAACACCGCCACACCAACAACGATGCAGGATTAACCCCCAGTCGGCATCTAGCTCTGATCATGTCAACCGGTAACGTGTGTGCGACAGGCCTGTTAGTTTTATTTTTGTATACTTGTATTCGTAAAATGCATAGTTGGGAAAGTTAGTAAAAAATTCTAACTAGTTTGAAGTTATAAGTTAGTCCCGTAAAAAGTAACTGATAGAAGTTATAAGTTAGTTAGTTTAAAAAGTAACTGATAGAAGTTATTAGTTAGTTGAAAAACTAACTGATAAAAAATAAAGTTAGTTTTAGTAGAAATTAGTTGTTCGTTGGGCAGTTGTTTTAAAGTATTTTTTAATGTCACATCTTGGTTACTAATATATACTATAATATGAGTAAAGATTGCGCAAGATATGATTTAAAAAATGGCTCCTACTATTTCCTCCAATTTCAATGCTATTGAAAATTGCTTGTATAATACATTTGCATTGTATGATGTAACCAAAGGGATAATTACGACTGTTCAAAAACATTAAGTGTTTTACTGCAAAACAATACACACTGACATTGAACTAAAAATCTAAAGGAAAGGCCAAGGAGATTTGTATTTTTCGACGATGCACCGCACGAATTGACAAGTTATTACACAATCCCGTAATTATAGTTGCAACGTTCCACGATCCCAGTGACTTAATGCAATAACGGTCGTCAGATAACAGATGTTATGTATCATGAGTTTTATATTGATTGAAGCTTATTGTGGGCATTTTATAGATTGATCGTCCAGATTAAAAAGTTTTGTAGACTAAATTGAGGATAAGTGGAAGTATAACAAAAACGAATTGACTTTACTACTTAATTAATCGTAGTAAGACTGAAAATATTTGTAGGCTTATAAGCTCTATTTTTTACCTCTTGAACAAATCAAACACCTCGAGCAAGATCGGTCCCCTGGTACTTGTGTTTTAATCAAACATTGTCACATTTTACATTACTACAACATAAACAAATGACATAAAACTTGTCAGATAATGAACACCAACTAAAGACAATGTTTTGACACTTGAGATGATATATCAATCACCAAACAAACATTTCCCCTTCCCACCCATCAGTGCTTGGGGTGTTGATAATGGCCGTCACTACCCTTCCACAGGCCCACTGCATTCCAAAGCAACTGGACTTTGACTTTCTCTTTCCCCACCCCCGCGTTGTTTGTCTACAAGGGTGCTGACCTCTCACGGCCGCATGCAACCCTCACTGATCACGTGAAATAAATAACCAGTATTTGAGATGCTTCCGCATAATTGGGAAAGTTAGTTGAAAATTCTAACTAGTTAGAGGTTATTAGTTAGTCCCGTAAAAAGTAACTGATAGAAGTTATTAGTTAGTTAATTTAAAAACAAACTAATAAAATATAAGTTAGCCAAAAAAACTAATGAATAGTGCTATTCGATAGAATTCTATTCGTTATTCCCAAGTATGGTAAAATGTGTTCGTGTTCGTGTTATGTGTTTCTACTGTGACGACGCTGCTTCAGCCGAAGACGTCTGATGATGGCATGTTAATGCCGAAACGGCCGTAACAGAAGTTACAACTTATTGAGCTGTAGACAATAGATAAATACAATGTTTTAATATTCCTTAGACACAGCTGTTAATTAATAATAATGAATAAAGAAGTTTGAATTGAATTGAATAACCCAAACAGCTAATGGCAATTAAGGGACCTACAGTTTATAGTGGAATCCGAACCACATTTTTCCTTGGTATACACAAATTGGACCAATTATCAGGATAGTACTGCAAATAGTCATAGTACTCACTCGTGCGGACGTTAATACACATCAGGGAGTATCGCATCCACAGTGCATGCCTATAAATATCCACAATTCGTGACCTTCTATTCGCTGGATTACAGGTAATACAGATAATAATGATAGTCCCGTGCGTGACCATGGATTACAGTCATGATAAGATTGAACTGTGCATTAAGTACTGAACATTAATTTTGTTTGTCTCTGTTAATGGTAAGATGGTGTCAAACGAGGTTTTAGTGGAGTGTGGAGTGCCTCAGGGCCCGTACTTGGACTTAGTATGTTTTCAATTGCTTGATCTTCCAAGTAACATTTCAAACCTACTAAATCTATTTTATATGCAAATGATACAACTTTCTTTTCAAAGGGCAGTACAATAGTGGAATTACAACAACTAACCCAAACTTCTTCTTCTGAATAACAATAAAACTCAAAGGTTTTTAACAGTTCAGTTTTACCCACAGATCAGAACCAGAATCAGAATTGGAATCAGGTGTTTAGTGATACACAACGAAGAGTAAAATTCCTAGGCATGTATATTGATAAGTTAACCAGTTCAGTCGGAAAATCCACATAGATTATTTATCCACGATATTATCTTGTGTTATTATCTAAATAAAAGATAGATCTCACTTGTTGACAGTAGCTTTATAAGAATATCTTATTTAACTTTTTCCAAAGTATTTATCCCTATTGGGAATATTTTTGGGGATATTTTGGGGAAGCAGTTGAGGCATTCATGATATTTTACTTATTTAGAAAAATATTGTTAGAATTATTTGTAATGAACATCCTGATTATTATTGTAAACTATTTTTACTAGGCTTGAATTCCAAGCTAATAGGTATTTATTTGTACATTTATAATATCATAGCTTACAGCCTAAAATAATACCCTATCAAAAATTATATAATGAGATCCATTGTCACAATACCAGAAACCATTTTGACTATTGAAAGGTTTTTTAAGATTAAGTTTGAGTATAAAAAGCCATAATAGTGATGTCAAGAAAATATATGACAAAATCAGTAAAATTGTGAAATTCATCTCACTCATAGAATTTTTTCAAACAAATTCTATAGCACACTATTGAAAAATCCCTTTTATTACCTGTCGAAGTTTTGAAGGGGAATATTGTATTTTAGTTGATAATCCTGTTTGTATTTTATGAATATGTTTTATGATATTTATTAGTTATATTCTTTGATATTGCTAATATCTATACATAATGTCTATGGCAAATAAAGATTTGTACTCTATTCTTATTGTTATTTGCACGAATTTTGACTCAAGGTTTTAAAACCTAAGTTTCCCCTATTGCATGGGAAGAAAAGTTCTGTCCCATTCCAGTCCCAAAAATCAGTAAGGAATTAAAAATCCTGACCTTTTCTGAACAAAAAGTACTATCCCGTTCATCCCTAGCCTTGGATGAAGTATAAAATATAACGATTTGGTATATTAATATTCTGTAAAGAGATGTTTCAGTGGAACACAAATAAGCTTTTAAAATATACATATGTTATTATTTATTAAAAATCAAAACCGCATAAAAATATTTTTACTTGGTACTTGTACCTATTGTTGTGACAATCATAGAAATACATACATGCAGTAATTTGTTTAGTTAAATTGAGGTAACGTAACTACAAAATAATTCTCCTTCCCTTCCTCTATAAAACCTCCACTTCGCCCTGGTGATGTTTGATTGACTTACCAACACAATATAACTAATGGATGTTCAATCAATTAAAATTTATTGGATATTTAAAAAAAAAAATGTTTTACAACAGGGAGTTCCAAAAACACTTCTCTGCTGCTTCCCACTTCAAATCAATCTATGAATACACCCAAACACTTCAAGTATGGTTTTTGCTGTTAGAAAAAGTGTTAGTTTTGTAAAAAATTCTTATGTGAAATGTTGGTTGTTCAAACAGACACGTCTAGACCATACTCTTCCAGAGAGGGGTCTTGCTTTTTCTTGCGCAGTCCACACAAGATGTGACAGTACTTGCCATAGTCGATCATGCGGATGTCTTTGTAGAAGCCCATGCCCTTGGTGACTGGTGCATCCTCCAATGCCATATCCACCTGCCACAATACATGCATATCATACATTGTTCAAACGGCAAGTATCCAGTTGGAATAAACATTTAAACCATCAATATCTGGTTCTTACCTCCTTTGCTGAGAATTTATCCCCCAAGTGCATCAAATCATGACGAAACCTGAAAGCATAAAATGTTCAATTTCATTGTAAATGAGATACTAAGACTAGATTCTATACCACACTACGTATTTCAAATACCAATACTCTTTCCTCAAAGTCGAAGTAAAAAATATCTTTATTAATACAATTCTTCAAAAACTACAATAGTATCAAGTAAGTTTTTTTTTATTAACTTCTGGTTTACGGTAGATCTTCTCTCCTCTCAAGAAATTCATCTAGGGTGTAAAAAGGTCTTTTCATCAGCCATATCTTCAACTCCATCTTGAGGTTGTTCCCAGTGAAGTCTCTCATGGATGCAGGATGGTGGTTTTGTAGCTTGCAGCCGCTGTATGGTAGTTTTTTCTCAGTAAGTGTGGTACGGTGAACTGGCAAGTTGAATCTTGGACCGTGACGGGTGTTGTATGAGTGGAAGAGTTGAATTTTGTCCATATGCAGGATACTTTCTTGAATGTATAGAGATACAACTGTCATCATTTTGAGGTCCTGAAACGCCTGCCTGTAGGTTTGGCGTGGTTCAAGGTTTTCCAGGATTCTGACAGCTTTCTTCTGCAATCCGGTTCAAGTTTTGTGATAATGTTGCTCCCCAAACCAATAGACCATAGGGGTTGAGGGATCTACTAGTGAGAAATATGTGGTTTTAGCTGCTGCTAGTCCTGCAATCGACTTAACTCTTTGCACAACATATCATATATTACGTTGCTAGTCCTGAAAATAGGTGTTTACCAGACAAGTGTGGTCGTTCCCGTGCGAGACAAAGTCGAGTGCGGGATTACCATACGAGTCCGTTAAACACATTTTGGACGAGCGACATACGATATTTTACGCCATACTATTCTAAACTAACTTAACAATAGGGGAGCGAGCTGAGCTAGTGGTTAGAGCACGTGACTTTGGTTCCAGAGGTCCCCCCGACTTTGGTTCCGACTTTGGTTAAAATCCTGCCAAATCACCAATGGATTTTATCAATGTGATAATGCCGCAACCCCTAGGTCTAGCCTGAAGTAATGTGAAAAAGAATTCCGGGCTCGTACCTAACGTCCTAGGACAAAAAAATAAAAATAATAATAAATAGCTAACTTGACAACAAAAATCTTTACAAATCCTTATATATTCTCACCGATTAAAGGACAAAAAATTTAAAGTGAGGTTATGTTTTTGTTTATAACCACTCATTTCCAAATATAATCAGCTGGTTGGTGTCTGGTAAAAACTCATCACAGTACAGTGAGTAGTACGTAATGAAACCCCATTTGATTAATTGGGCATGCGGCAAACAGCTGTTTTATAGACTAAATCCTTGAGTGGAAAGCTCGTTATAACAGTGTAGTGTGGTGTAAATACTTGTGTAAATACTATGTGATTATAGGTGCATTTTTATCAAGGAGATCATTTATGGTACTACTGTATTAAGTTCACTGACCATTAAATCAACATGGGTAAGATTTTCAGTGTTGTTCTACGGTATTTGCTGTAGGTCTAAGATATACCATGCCTCATTCATATTCTTGAAATCCCTACACCTAACGAATTTTGTCTGGGGCTTAGGAGTTTTAACTGAATACACACAGTAGATAAGGTTATGCTGGGTACTGCTGTAACTGGAAGCTGTCCGTGATGTAAAATTTCTTGTGGGTCAGAAACAATTATTAGGTCCAGGAGTGTATCAGACTCAGCAGCATGATGCACAGGTTCAAGTGGGAGTATAGTTAAGTTGCATGAATTGAATAATGTAGTCAGATGTTTGTATTCATAGTTTTGGTTCCTCGGGAGTAATTTTGTATTAAAGTCACCCATGATCAAGACATGACTATACCTAAACATAAAGGCCAGGCGCACACAGGCTTTTGAGTCTAACAGTTGCCCGACCAAAATGTTCAGAATTGTTTGTTTGTTGAATTGGAGTGCGCACACCAAGGAAACAGTCTAGGGATAGTCGCGCAACTGTTGCAACCGTTGTTCTTGGACCCAATTTGCCAGAGACAGCTCTGCGACTCAATTGTCACGGGACTGTCACTCCAGGCTTGGTATCCATTGAAACAAATCTAGATGCGCACACATACGACTATAGTGTCGCTCAGTATCAGTTGGAAAGGAAAGTTTCGTCAGCGGCAAAGTTAGAGAGCTTGGGTTGAATCATAACATGTATTTTTTTGAAAAAGTTATGATGAGTGGTTTTGGAAATAAGGTGGAAGAGGAAGCGGAATTTGTGTATGGCCGACGCTCTGGCGCTGCCTTATGTCGCTCACAGTACGCCTACACACACAATAATTTATTGATAATCTAGATGTTTTTATGACCACATATTTGTTTATATGCGTTCTATATTCACTCTAATTCATAAGTTTTTTGTATAAGTAATATTTTTATTTCATGCAATAGCAATTTTATCCGTACTATTATTGTTTCGTGTATTTAATGACTATCAACCACAAAATCCAAACCACAAAGTTAACTAAATCATCATTGGTACGTAGCCATATGAGCTTAGTTATATATTAGTAATGGGTTGGTACTTAACTTCAAATGTCGGTTCCGTCAGTTTTTGGCAAAAGAACCGGAACCGAGAAGTGATGGTGAAATGTCAGTACCGTTCCCGATAATGGGAATTTGCTGAGCAGAGTTTTCCATGGTGAGGCAACTGGCTGACGCAGAAGCTGGGAGGTTAAAACAGTTCAATATTACAGACCCTCCTTTTATATTTGAAATAAAGCAAAGCTTTTGTGACGGTATTGACAGGGTTTCCTGAGGATGTATCTAAAAAAAACCTCCCCAGCTGATATGTAATGGGTCTGGGAATTTTTTGAAGCCGTCACAATATGTTTTTTCACTGGATTGTTTTACTTATAGAATAACTTGTTGCTATTCTAGACCCACCTGACTTTTTGGATGGTAAAGTATATGCCGATTTTCAGAATAATGTGAAACATATATTCAACATATTTACTCCTAATCCTCCATCGACCCACCCAACTCGCTTCTGTGACCAACTGCAACCCATAATTTAAAAACGCTGGGTTATTCTAAAGATCAAGATATTGAATTAAAGGGGTTTAGAATAAAAGAAGTTGAAATAATAATGTTCCTCTTAAGTTGAAAGCTAGAAATAGCTATAATCAAGCGACTGGATGGATGTGTTGCAATTTTTCTCACTAGATAAAAGCTTACTTTTCCTCTGATATAAGTCCAGAGCCGTCGTAATCCCAGCGGGATAATGCATCTCTCAGCACCTCCTCAGAATCCAGCTCTATAGTCCGGTAACCCAGCAGCATTATGAAGGCGTCAAAGTCTAATGGCTGGCAAGCCTGTAACAGTTATTTTTACAATAAGATCATATTTCTTAGAACAAATCTTAAGGTTTTAGCCTAATATCTGTCTTATCTTGTTACATGATTATTATTGCTTAAAATTGTCGTTTGTCACTTAGACCCTACTGTGCTTTGATATTTTATATTGTTATATAAAAACCTCAATAAAACTTTGTTCCCATAGTCTGATTACGCTGGTTTGCAAATTTGTTTGATAAAACATAGGTTTATCATTTATCCATTTGTACTAATTTATAGAAAATTTGTACTTAAGTTATCGTGCCAACGGTCAACGGACACACACACACACGAACACATATATATATAAAACACATATAATATTTCTGATCTTCTCCTACATTGTAAAGTTTTACTGTGACAATGGTATTTTATAATTGAAAGTTGACATATTAGTATTCATCTTAAAATATGTCTTACCTCAGACATCATTTTATCAAGCTCTTCCTCATCAATGTCCTGGATTTCCTGTCCCATGGCAATTAACGACTTTCGCAAGTCTTCTTTGTCTATCACACCATCACGGTCAAAGTCAAATATCTGGAATGCCTAAAAAACAACAAAAATAATACAATTTTATAAATACTGTATTATAATTGCTTTAAATTTTATTAGGACTAGGCTTATTACAACTCATGGATTTCCATAAAAAAATTATGTTTTGACTAGCAGAGTACCCGTCCTTCGTACGGGGTTGGCATATAAGTATAAAATGCTTATTGCAGGTATACTCAAGCTTTGTGTTTGCAATGGGGGAGGACACAGTTTGATAAAATTTGGTTCTTTAAATTTACGGTATGATCATAGACAAAAAGAATGAAATATAGACTGTCAGCCGTGCTGCGGTTACCATGGTTACCATAAGTCCGGCACACCGCTGTAGTTTAAGTAGCGCGTACGCTGTAACTACCGTGGCGATCCCAGCGGTTTGCGCCAGAACTTATGGTAACCGCAGCACAGCTGACGGTCTATATTTAATTCTTTTTGTCTATGGTATGATACAGTACAACACATATACCATAACCATAATTTTCTACCACTTCACCTAAACAATAGAACAAATAAACTATCAAACATTTGCACAATATCAAAAATTGTTCATTAACCTACATTAAAAACATACACATAACTGTATCAATTATCAATTATCAATCATTAAGATGGGGACGCCACTGAGGTGCGTATTTTAACCAAAATATGAGTGAAGGATGAGTGTAGAGTGGTGTGAGATGATCTGTGTAGATTTGTTACTGACTAAGATGAGCTTTTTTATTAGCCAGGATCATTTATTTTAAGCCCAATGATCAGGAACAGCTGGGTCCAGTTTTGAACCATCAAAAAGCTACTGACTTTTCTCAGGATCGAACCGGCGACCTTTTGATTAGTAGGCGAGCACTATAACCACTCAGCTACCCAGCCAGTTTGACAGTTTAACAATCCTACTTTGACAGTTCTCATTGTGTATCAAATTAGCTGTTGTCATATATGCAAAAACAAAATAATAATAGTGCTCCACCCTGTTGGGAAACCTTATAACTTTTTAATGCTATTGTATAGACAGACAGACAGAAAATCTTTATTTGAAATCTTAAAGATTTGAAAGGCGTCAATACAATATTAATACAAAAATGAGATGAATTATTGTCAAATACAATCAAAATTAGGCCAGTCCATAAATTCTTTTATGCTGTAGAATGGCATCTTGCAGAACCAACGGGTGAGTCGAGCTTTCAAGGTTTTAGGGTTGTCATCTTTCAGCTCTCCTGGCAGCATGTTGAAGAATCTTGATCTGGCATAGGTAGGCTTACGTTCGAAAAGTCCAAGGCGATGAGCAGGGAGGTTGTAGTTGGTTCTATTTCTCGTTTTATAGCTGTGTACTTCTTCATATCGCTTGAGATTCCTGGTTGAGGCCAAAATAATGGTTTCTGTTATGTAGAGGGTGATTACTGTAAGAAGCTCATTGTCTTTGAAGAAACCTCTAGAACTTTCCAGTAGTCGGATCTCATGTAGTTCGAATGGCTGTCAGTTGGATGTAAGGTGTTCATGGGAGAGGAAATGCTAGGGGGAGCAACCCCTACTTCCTCAACCGAGTAAGGGAGGTTTTTACTTTTTACCCAGTGGTACATCCTAGTGATACCAGGGTGGCAGAGTGACTGGTGAAGTGCAAAAAGCTTGTCATCACAATTTATGTTTGTGACAGCTCCACAAACGCGTGAAAATGCATCTGCGGTGACGTTTTCTTTACCTGGTCTGTACTGTATGTCAAAAGAATAAGGTGACAACTCAAGACGCCATCTAGTGATTTTCTCATTTTTTATTTTACTAGTATGCCGACTGTTGAACACAAACGACAAAGCCTGTTGATTGGTGATTAATAGAAAATGTTGCCCAATGAGGAAATGTCTTCACTTCTTTAGAGATTCGACTATGGCTAGGGCTTCCTTCTCAATAGACAAATGACGTTTTTCACAATCTGTCAATGTTTTTGAAAAGAAAGCGACAGGTCTACCCTTTTGACTTAACGTGGCAGCTATAGCGAAGTCAGATGCATCTGTTTCCACAACTAATGGAGAAAGATCATTAATCACGGTGAGTATTGATTTTCCTATGTCTTGTTTAATTTCCTCAAAAGCCAAAGCTGGCAAAGATGAGGGCAATATAGGAAAACATTTGCAATCAATCAGAGGCCGAATCTTGTTTGAGAACTTAGGAACCCACTTTGAGTAGTGAGAAAATATTCCTAATGCACGTTTTAATTGAGATGCATTAACTGGCAATGGCAAGTCTAACAAGGGTTTCAGACGCTCTGGATCTGCTTGCATAGACTGGTAGCGAATTTGATATCCTAAGATTGATATTATGTCTTGAGAAAATGTGCTCTTCTCATTGTTTAGAGTAATATTATATTTCTTAGCTACCTTTAAGAATTTATTCAGCCTTTCATCATGTTCTGACTGAGTTTTTCCGGCTACGGTTATGTCATCAATGAAAGCCCACACCCCTTCTAGTTTTTCAGTGGAAATAATCTTATCAATCGTGCGCTGAAAAGCAGACACCCCATTTGTTACACCAAATGGAACCCTACAGAACTGATAAAGTTTTCCTGCTGCCTCAAATGCTGTGAAGCATTTTTCTCATGTTCCGATATTGGTATTTGATGGTAAGCCTCCTTTAAATCTATAGAACTGAATACTTTATTTTCTGCTATTTTACTAGCTATGTTTTCAATATTAGGCAAGGGGTAGACATCTAATAGGGTAAACTTATTATAGTTTGACTATAATCTATTACTAATCGCTTTTTATGAGATGAGCTTTTGGTAACAAGCACTTGTGCACGCCAGGGAGATGAACTTTCTTCAATTATACCACTTTGAAGGAGTTTTTGCACTTCAGAGTTGATGAACTTTTCATCATCATTAGAATACCTACGAGACTTAGTTGCAATGGGCTTGCAGTCAGGTGATGGATTATGAAAAAGGCATGGTGGTTCCACAGAAGCACGGGAAACATTACAAATGGACAGAGGTAACTTACTTAAAATCATGACCAACCAATATGTCAGTGCACAGATTGTCAATAACAAACAGTTGTACTCTCCTCATAGTTATGGTCAGAGAACTCTTAAGTTCACAGAAACATAACCTTTGATAGGTGACTTTAGGTTTGTGGAAGCCATAGATACCTGTTTCCGTTCTGGAATTAAATGAAAACCATTTTCAATTACCTCAGCTCGATTTATAAAACTATCGGTACTTCCAGTATCAACCAAAACTTCAACAGGTATTTTATTTGCATAAATGCGGGGTTACTGCTTTTGACAATCCATTGGAGGCAGCTGCACATGAAAGCGTGGTTACTACCAAAGAAGAGGCATTAAAGGTCTTACCTTGAGCTTTCATCAACCTGCATACCTTCACAAAATGTCCCCTTTTCTTACAACCAAAGCAAGTGGCATCTTTGGTAGGACAGTCGTTTCGAGTAAAATGACGCTGGCCACTGCAGTAGAAACACTTCAGTTTAAAGTTTTTCGCTACAGCTGCTGAAGTAGGAGACTCTTCAGGATCTATATTTTCATCCAGTTGATCTGGTAGTGTTGACGAAGTGTTGCAATATGTGACTTCAATTTGGTTTGAAGATCTATATGCTTCGAAGCTCTTCTAGTAGTCTTTGTCGAATTTGGGGGTTCATAATTCCACTTATAAAGGCATCTCTAACGGCTTCATCTCGATAAGTATTTCCATCTATGGCACGAAAATTGCAATCCTTACTTAGAAGTTTAAGCTCTTGTAGATACTTGTCTATGTTTTCTTCTTTCTTCTGCTTGTGGTTTGCTAGCATGTGTCGAGCATAAATTTCATTCTTCTTAGGATTATAAATAGCTTGCAAAATTTCAACTGCTGACTTAAACGTGGGACATTCAGAAATATACTCGTAGACATTGTAAGAAAGAAAATTAATCAATACGTTGAGTTTCCTCTCTTCAGTAACTTCTGAGTCAGATATGAAATTTTCAAGTGTCCTGAACCAATGTTTGAATGCTCTACTTGCAGAAGGATTTTCATGATTAATATCAAACCTGTATGGTTTTAAAAGTCTTTCCATTTTGATTTTGATTATTTAATTATCTTGATAAGTTTAAGTTTATTAAATTTGTTGTGAATAACTGAACCTTTTTAGAAAATAAGACTTTAATAAACTTAAATTCTTACATAGCTGGAAAGGTAAACAAAGCTCTAATACAAACAACAAGTAAATAAATACTTCAGCTGATAAGATAAGATCACTCTTTTTTAAATCACTGTTTTTGTTGATCATCTTGAAGTGTGGTAAAAAGTTGTAATAATTAAGGTACTTTGGTTGCAGTTTAATTTATTCAATTTGTTCTTGAATGGTTTGCAGTTGTAATAGGTCATTATTAAATACAAATCAATACAAAATATATGAACACAACTCTTGATACATGTTTATTTCTTAATAATGAAAGATAAACATTGAATTATTTACAATGTGAAATTATTCCAGTCATATGATTAATATTAAAATAAAAGATAGATTTTTGGGATATTCCTCCAATTCCTCCCTACTTATTTAAGAAGATCGTTCATTTATAAGTTCATCCTTTTAATTGCTTGTACGATTGCTTGTACTTGACGCTTCATTGTTAGTTATAGGGCTTTTTGTCTCACTATCAGGCATTGAGTTTGCTGTAGGACTCGATGTTTCAGTGTCGTTCCTTCCCAGCTTGTGGTGCTACTTGAGACATTTTCTGTATCATGCGACCTTTCTTAATTGCTTTTTGATTTTCTTAACATGCCGTACCTTGTATGTCCCATGAATGGAGGTTGTCATCTTCACCAGGCCTTAAGAGATCTAGTTTGGTTCTCAAGTTCCTGCCAAACATTAATTGTGCTGGGGATGCACCAGTACTCAGTGGTGTAGCTCGGTACCGAAATAATAGTGCACATAGTTTTTCATGTAAAGTGCCCTGTTCAAACTGCATGCACCTCAGTTTTGTCTTGAGTGTTTGGCAAAATCTTTCCGCCTGAC